CAGACCAGCTGGTCACTCTGGTCCCTGTTGGTCTTATAGATTTCCATAAAAGGGTCAGACTTGCTGAACAGATCCTGGAGATGACGGGAAAGGGCCCATGAGTCTTGTGAGGTCTGCAAGGAGGGCTGGGGAGAGGGCTAGCACTGAGAAGGGAGCAGGCCTGGGTCCCCAGGATCTGCCTTCAGTAGGAGTCCTAGGGCTCTCTAACAGGGGACATGGGGCCTGGGTTCAGGGGTTCTAACCTTGTTGTCCAGCTTTTGGGCTCTGAAGGTAAGTTGCACGTAGTCATTGGTACCAGATACCTCCTCAGCCACAATCTGCAAGGGGGACACAAGTGTCAGGACTCTCCTCCCCTGACCAGTGGGGTCACTCTGTCCCCTTTCCATGGGCGGAGTGGTCCTGGGCATGATATCACCACAGACGAGCATGCAGGGGGCACTGAATGCCTAGCCCAAGGGTGAGCACAGGTGACCTTGCTTACTGTGATTGTGGACTTGCCGGCTGTTTTCCCATTCTTCAGCAGTAATGGCTTCGTGACCTTGGTTTGTGACACAATCTGAGGATGAAGGAGGAGGGAGACCCAGCTGCCTGGGCTGTGATACATACAAGAGGTAGAAGAATAAGTGTTCCCTGAGTGTCCCCAAGTTGGCCCTTTGACTGGGCTAGGGTTGGAGTTAATTTCTGCAGCAGGCTTAAGAGGGAGGTGCAGGACACTGTAGGTGTAGCTTAGTGGTAGAGTGCCTACTTAGCATGCATCAGGCCATGGGTTCAACCCCCAGCACCACAAAACAAGAAAAAAATGAAAGAAAGAAAGAAAGAGAAAAGGAGAGAGAAAACAAAAGACAGAGGCACTATAACATTCCCCTCACCACCACCATTTTTTAGATGGGGAACCTAAGACCCAAAGAGTGAAGTATCTTGCTTAAGGCTCCACAACCAGTGAATAACACGATGGTATCCAGGCCCAGGTTGAATTAGCTCAGGAGCTCACGCTCTCTCTTATTTTAGGTTCCAGAGGCAGACTCTGACAAGGATGGGGGTGGGTGAGCTAGAAGGCAGACCTGGCCCAAGGTGCACTCTGTCGAGCCAAGGAAGGTATCATTGCTGGGGCTGGTGGCTCCGTCCTCAGCATCAAACACGTGGAATTGCAAGGGCTGCTTCTCTTCAAAAAAGTACTCGAGGGCCAGTGCCCGGGAGAAGACAGGGCTGGAACAGGAGCGAAGCACCTCCGTGCGCTCCACCTGTGGCGGGAGGGGTGAACAGAGGCTACTTTCCCCTGCCCAGGTCCTGCCAGCCCTCCTTCAGGTCCCATATTGACAACAACTTCTCTTTCTAGGCTGATCCCCCAGCCAAGAGTGGTGCTGCCCACTGGACTCACATCCCCCTGGGGCTCTCAGGCTTTGAGAGCCATTCCTCTGCCTCTGGGGCAATCTCAGGACCCTCTGGGACTCTGTGTGCTTTCAACTGTAAAATGGGTTGGGTTTGTAATGATGGCATGCTTGTCTTCATGGTTACCCACATGGCCCAGAAAAGGTCCTCTAGAGTCCTCACCTTCTCCTACCCACCCTCCTTCCTTCCCAGGCTTAACCCAAAAGGCTGATTCAGGAAAAACTCAGCTCTCACCTCTACCCATTGCTCGTCAGAGTACAGCTTGAGCAGCACACAGGGGTGGGGCTTGGCCAGAGTGTCTCGGTCCAAGAGGCCATGGCAGGATACTCGTAGCTCCACCCGGGAGGCCCCCAACGTCATGGTTGGGGGCTCAGGCACCCATCCCATCTCAGGGTCAGACATGTCACTGCAGAGGAGAGCAGATGGCTTGGACACTGTCCTCCAGGCGCCCTGAGCCCTACCATCTTACCCTCTTTGCTGAGGCCCTGGGGTCGCACGGACCTCCTGCTTCTCCTGTCTCTGCTTGGCTTCCCCAGGACTCCAAGAAGTGGAGGGCAGAGAACCAAATTCTCACACTCCTTCCCTGGAGCCCTGCAACTCTCTCAGCCCTACCCACCTAGGTGTGTGTGGATGGGGCTTGAAAGGGCTGGAGGGTTGGGATGCAAGCTGGGTTTCTGGCAGCCTTGGCTCCCAGGCCATCGATTGATCCACACTTTCTGCTGTCTCAGCACCTTCTGCTATTTCCCGACTGGTGTTTGAGCCAGCACTGCACTCAGTCTTGGCATGAGGGAGCTGAACTGGGACAAGGGGCTGGGGCAGGGGCTGGAGAGGCCCCCGAAGGTCTGAAAAGAACAGGCTTCAGGAATGGAGTCTGCAGTGGGTAGAGGAGACAGGTGGGAAGGTGCTCTGCTGGGCTGCCTCCCTATCCCCAGTCATCTCTGGCTGGCTCGTGGGAAGGAGGGTGGTGGGCTTGGAAGTTAAGATCAGGACCAGGTCTCTGCTGAAAGCTCCCCCAGGCTCCCGCAGGGGCTCCCACTATGAGAAGCCTTGCCTCCCTCCCACCTCCCCTGTTCTCACACTTCTTGGCAGCAGTGGCACTGTCTCTTAGCGACAGGATTTGGGGGAGCCACAGCCCCCTCCGTTCTGTCCATGGGATGCATGCGCACCAGCCTCCCCCAGCGGTGGTACCGAGCCTCGGGCAGCAGCAGGCGGGGCACTGTGGCCTGAGTTCACGGCCGGTCAGTCCATCCAGCTGTTTCTGGCCAGATGTCAGAGTGAGGCTGTCTGATCCCATGCCGTGCTTCCCCAGGCGAGTGTGCATCAATGTGTCTGGACGCCCCACCCTCTGTGTCTGTCCCCATCTGTCATGTGTCCATCTCCAGGAGGGTGTGACAGTTCCTTACCTCCCTCAGAATGGGGAGCCTTCTCTGGCTGGATACCCACCACCTCCTCCACCACGTGTGTCTTTCTGGGTATGTGAGGGAGGGTCTGGGCTGGGGCTCTGGCTTCTAGCTGCTATGCTAGTCTCCCAGTTCTGGTGGGTCTTCTGAGGTAGGCAGGGACATGTGGTGGTGAGGGGATCGGGCAGGGCTGGGGACCTCCCTGGGGGTTAGAGGAGATGTTGTTATGGAGACTGAGCCAGGCTGGGCTGGGCTGGGGCTGGGCTGGGGAGGACGGGTGGGCTCACCTGGGCTCGCAGTCGGGGCTCCTCTCTCCGGTTCTGAGCCTGGCCCTGACTCCTTGCTGCTCCAGCCGCTGGCGCCGGCTCCGCTCTGGCTCTGCTGCTATTTATGGGGCTTGGATGGGAAAGGGTGGGGGGGCTGCAGCATCAGCTCCCCCCCGCACAGACGGGTTGGGAGGGAGGAGAGAGGAGGGGCAGGGCCACTGTCTGGGAGGGAGCCACAGAACTGGGGGAGGAGGGCGGGCTGGGGGAGGCTCAGAGGCAGGACCCCCACAGACACAGTGACACACATCTTCCCCTTCACACAGCACCCACGCCCAGCATCACAGAGGCACACACATTGCAGTGGTTCAGGCACACACACACACACATCCACACAGAAATGATGGCGACACACGCACCCCCAACTTACAGGTTCACACATAGCTTGACACGCGCAGGCACCAGTCCGTAAACTCACTGTGACACCATGACAGCTACAGCCCCACAGACACACAGTGGAAAACACACCCAGCTTCACAACACTCTCAACAGTATTACACTTGTTAAGGATATTTGCAGTCACATAAAAGAACACTGGGTTGTATTTATCACACATATGCATACACTCACTCACACGGACCCCGAATACGACAGAATGTGGATCTTCACGTGCTCCTTAAAAGCCATCATGTACCACTCTGAATCTCATAGCTTTGAAAATGACATTCAGTTCCCTAGCTATCTTTTTATAAAAGGATACAGGAAACGGACGTGATGGCTTAGGACACATGGACTCACACAGCCGCACAATTGGGGCATGTGCTGAAGGACTGACTCTCGGGGCATCTTTCCAGTGCCACAATGTACCAAACAACCCCAGCCCCCAAGATTCAACCCATATGGCCACATCCTGTGGGAGGGGCAGTGCCTGGAGCAGATCTTAAGGACACAAGACATTAGTCATTCCTAACAAGATCAGGGGAAGTGAGCAATTGCCTGGGGAGACAGAAGCCACAGGAAGACATTCCAGCACATGATGCTCCAGGGTGAGAACACAGCACATTCACCAGGACACCTTCATTCTCTATCCTTTAAGCTGCTCATTTGTTAAGGTAGCAACCATTTATTAGCCATATCCTGAGTGCCAGGCATTGTACCAGGCACTGGGGCTAACCAGATGATTAAGACCTAGCCCCCTGCCCCTGGGGGACGCAGAAGTATATGGAACAGAGACACATGTGTGCAGAGGACAAGCCAATGTGAAATGCGATTAAGTATGATGAAAAATTATGGACCTGTACAGGAAGCAGTGGGGCCCAGTGAGAGAGGGTTCAATTTGGATGAGTTAGGAAGGCACCAGGAAAGACATCTGGGGATCTTGAATGCCAAGGTTACTATTACTATTTGTTATGTTATCAAAGGAAATGATTAATTTTTGATCTCATTTCATAAAGACTTCTGTTCATCTCTAAGCTATTCTCCTGTTGAGATTTTGACTTTTTTTTTTCTGGTACTGGGGATTGAACCCTGGGCCTTCACCCTGAGCTACATCCCACAGGCTGTCACAGCCCGTAATAGCCTCAGTGAGCCTGTGTGTGAACTCATGTATACAGATACTGCTCCCTATTCCCTCATGGTATACTGGGGTCTTCCCATCCCATCACACCTACAAGCTGGAGCACACACTCTGTTGGTTTCTGTCATTTGTGTCCCTTCTGCAGTCCTGACCCTGCACATAATACCCACCTTAGTTTGGGGACTTGTCAGTCCTTTTCTGTCACCAGCTCTCTGTTTTTCTCCCTCTCCTCTCAGAACCCCAACTGTACCCTGGTGGGGTGTTTCTTGCTTTTCCCCACTGTGGTCAAGCCCTAGGGGCTTGGGAAAGGAGCAGATGGTGGGAGGTGGGGGACAGTGAATGGGGAAGACAGCAGAGACTTGATGCAGACCATGTTTTTTTTCTTTTTTTTATTCTATACAAGTGGGGAGAAGCCCCTGGGGATAGAGGGACAGAGATCTACCCTCCCAGGGGAGGAGACAGGTCCACCCAAAGCTCTCTGCCGAGCAAGGCATGGAGGGAGGCAATGAGAGCCTCCCTCTCTCCAGGTTGCTTCCTCCCTTCTGATCCCCCGCCTCCTGCTCCCCTGTGCCTGGCCCTATATCCTGTCTCTGTAGGACAGGGGCTGGCGGGAGGTCTGGGGGGAGCAGGAGTGGGTGGGGGTCTGAGTCCTTGTGAGGCACATGTCGAGAGGAAGGCTGGGGAAAGTGAGGCGGCGGCCGTCAGTCTGTTCCTGGCTCACTGCTTCCTGCTGGGGACAAATCCAGGGAACCCTGTTTCCTGGTCAGGGAGAGAAAACTGCCCCATGTTGGGGCTTAAGGAGGTGCAATACTGGGCAGAGGGACAGACTGGTGGTAAGGGGGACCTGCCCTCTTACCACTAGCACCTGCGGGGTCAGGGGGCCGCCTTCTGTCAGGCTCCAGTTTGTCACAGGACTGTGCCCGCCGTGTCCTCTTAGGCTTCAGGGGGGCGGTCCGGCGGCCTGGATCAGGGGGCCCTGCAATGACAGCCACAGGAAGCTCACAAGCTGGGGTGCTCATCCAGCCTGCGAAAGGTGACCTGATGTGGGCAGCAAAATCACAGAGGTTGCCTGAGCCCCCCACTCAGCCAGGATGGCAGACCTTGGACTTCAGGCTCCTCTTGGTCTTGCTGTGAGCCCAGCCTCAGCCGGGGCTTGCTGATTCCTGGGGCTGTACCCCCAGTCTCGGCCTCCTCCCTGCCCCCTTGGACCTGGGGGGCTCGCCGGCCCCTGGGCACAGCCACTGGCTTGGGGAGCCGTGGAGCTAAAGGGGGGTCCTGCAGCTGGCAGAGGAAGGAAGATGCTGGATTAGTCTCTGTCCCATCAAAGCACCCTCCTCATCCCCCTTGCTGGTCCTCACCTTGGCATTCCTAGCTAGAACTGTCCTCTCTGGGAAGAAGGCCCCCTCCTCTTCCTCTCCATCTTGGGAGGCTGGGCTGGGGCTCTGGCAGCTGTGGCTGGGGCCACTCTCCTCAGCTGGGGGATGGGAGGCAGGCAGAAGAAGCCACAGAAAAAGGCATTCTGGTAGAACCCTCCCCTCTCTTCTCCTCCCACAATGTCCCCACTGGCCAGGACCTTCCCCCACCAGGCCCATCTGCTCCAACACCTCTGCCTTCAATGTCTCCTTCTAGCCCCACATCTCCTTAGCCCCTGAAGCTATCACCTCTGAAGGGGCCTCTTTTGCAGAGCACAGTCCAGGCCCTTTCCTTTGGGGCAGAGCCAGGATGCGGGACCTCCTGGGCAACACAGGCATGGCCGCCCATCCAGGGCTGCAGTGCCCAGGGCCCTGCCAAGGCTGCAGCCTGGCATTCCCAGAACTGTGGCCAGTCTGATTAGATGGTGAGAGCTGGAGGAGAGATTCCCTGGCATCTGCCCCCCGCCCCCACCATGGCCTTAATAACATGAACTGGAGGTAGAATACCTGGGAGGGGTGTCTGTGAGTGTCACTGTGAGTGTGCGTGACTGTTAGGGTTCCCTGAACGAAGGGTGTGTCTCTCCTTTGGATGCTTTACCTAGCTGGTGTGAGGGATAGGGCATTAGCAAAGATGGGCGGGCTTGGAGGATGGTGCAGGCGCATAGGCACCGGCAAGCTTCAGGCACTATGGTGCAGAGAGGGACGTGGGCAGAATGGGGTGGGACAGGACAGTGAGGAACGGGCAGCCCAAGCCAGCCCTGCATGTTCATCTCTGAGTTTCTTCTAGTCCTATATCCTGGCCTAGGAATGTGAGGGAGTGTCTGCATGTACAGGGAGATTTTGTTCATGTCAGTATTGTCAGGGTCCATATTCCAGGCCTTTGGAATTTAAATTGATACTGAGCTGACCAGCTTTTCTTTAGTGGGTCCTTAAGCAGAAGGTCCCTGCATTCAGCAGGAAGGAAACATCATACCTGTAGTAATTTTCCCTTTTATTCCTCCAGTCATGAAGCCAAAAAGGAAATGACCCACTTAAGGTCATGGGCGGCTGATGGGACTAATACCTAGGCAGAGCATTTGCCCTTTCTTTGGGCCACCTTTCTGAGTAACCTCAAGACAGGCTGTAAGGTATTTTTGGAGGCTGGAGTATCTGAAGTAGGCCTACTTCACTGGCACTGGGTGGCAGTTTGACTTGCCTACCCTACTCCCAGCTAAAATATGAAACGAGGTCTTATCTATAGAGGGCACCACTGTGCTGAAGGTGGCCAAGGTGACACCTGCCCTAGAATAGTCAGTGGACCCAACCCACAAGGTGGGGTGCTGTTTGTTAAGCTTGCGAAGCCACTTTTTTTTTTTGGTACCAGGGATCCAACTTGGGACCTTGCACTTGTGAGGCAGGCGTGGAACCACTGAGCTAAATCCCCGGACCCTAAGCCGCTTATTTATTTTATTTTTTTTTTGGTAACGGGGATCGAACTTGGGTCCTTGTGCTTGCGCAGCAGGCATGGAAACCACTGAGCTAAATCCCCAGCCCTAGGCCACTTTTATTCTGTAAAATCTTTCTTTGGATTGGGTTGTTGGTCCTTTTGGGTATAGCTTCATAAATATCCTTAAATGTTTTTACTGTGTTGACTTCACACTGCCCCACCTTGATTGTGAATTGCCTAGAGTAGAGGCCATGGTTTCTGTTTGTTTGGACACACCCTGGGCCTTCATTCAGCACTGCTGCCAAGAAGGGCCTTTCCATACCTATGTGCCATGTGGCCTCTGCTCGGCGCATGGCGCTGAAGCTCGGCTTGCTGCTTTGGGGTGGTGGTGGGGGCTTCCAGGCTCCAGGACCTAAGAGTGGAGAGAGGGATGAAAGTGGAAGGGGGAGAGGGAAAAGGAAAATGAGGAGGGGTCTCTGAGGGAAGCATAAAAGGCAGGCAGCAGGGGTGTTCTGCTCACCTGCGTCGTCTGAAGAGCGCCGTTTCTGCCAAGCCTGGGTGCTGTCCTCCAGGTCGGAACCTGTCCCCTGCAAGCAGAGTGGAGTCAGCTGTGATGAGAGCATCCCCCTGGGGGGCACTGCAGCTGACAAGGGGCTTCTGCTTTACAATCTCATGTCATTCTCATCTCGCTAGTTCCTAGATATTTGGACCATGTTTCCCAAAGAGTGGTACCCATACCACCCCAGGGCACAAGAAATGGTTTACACAAATGAATATACTGCTATCCTAATAATTATGTGTTTATTTTATGTGTAGTAGTGAAAAAATGACTTGTAAAAAAATCCCGAGATTTTAAAGATGATAATGCTTAGGTTCAGACTAGGTTAAAAAAAGGTGAGTTGATTTAAGTAAAAAATAATTAGGTAAATAATAATTCAAGTGGCACACGGATAAGGTAAAAATCCATCATAAAGGTTGTAAGGAAGTCCCCAAGGCTGAGGAACACAGCTTTGGAGCTAAGTATTTATTTATTTTTTTGGTACTGGGGATCGAACTTGGGATCTTATGCTTGCGAAGCAGGCGGCGGAACCACTGAGCTAAATCCCCAGCCCAACCGGAGGTAAGTATTTTTAAGAACCCCCTCCTGGACTCCCTGACAAGTGTGTGGTAGGGGAAGAAATGCAGCCAATACCTTCTAAGGCCAAAGAACCCGCTTTCTCCGTTGAGCCACCAGGAATGAAGAAGCAGAAAACCGGGTGGAAAGGGACCCACAGGACCCTCAGTTCGCTACCCCAGTCTCCTCTCACCTCTCGTTTCCCGTCGAAGCTCCAACCCTTGGGTCTTCCTAACCCAGGCAGGGCAACACCATGTACCGTTGGCTGCTGTGCTGTCCTAGGGGTTGTGACCCCTTCCCCTGCCTCTGACCCCTCAGTGCCCTGGAATAAGGTCTTCTGTTTATAAGCAGTCCTTGATGGAGAAGGGGCTCCACAGACAGCAGGGGAGCTGTGGGGGGTCTTCCGTCCCACCAAGGTCCCAGCCCTAGGGAAGTCCTGCCCACACGCTGAGAGGACTCCTACCAATGCCCCACTTTGCACACAGCCCTCCCAGCATGCTCTGGGAGAGGAGCCAATGACCAGTATTCCCCAGAACTCTGGGTCTTAGTATTGTCCCATTAGGTTAGGGTGGGGTCAGGGAATGGGCTCCATCTAGGACAGGACAAGGGGTGGACACAGCACTCCCTGACTCACTTACCATCTTCCTTCGGAAGGAAGGCCCCCGGCCCCCGGCCAGTCCAGGTAGGAGGCTGCTCTCCTCCTCTGGGGTCCAGCAAGGAGAAGAGTTGTTATTGCCGAGGCTTGGGGGGTCTGGGCTGGGAGGGCTCTCCTGAGTCGGGGGTGGGGGCGGGGGCGGAGGGAGGAGGAGTCCGGTGGTGGGGGACCCTGGCCCCCTGTCCCCCTTGAAGCTCCGGGGACGGCGAAAGTGAAACAGTCCTCGACGTCTCTTCTTCTGGAGCGGAGGCAGAGGCGGTTCCGAGAGGCCTGGCCGCACCGTCCTCAGAGTTCTGGGGTAGCTGGGCAGAGTTGGGGTGAGTCAGTGACAAGTGCCAGATAGAGCCCAGAGTGGTGCTGGTGTTGGCCCACCCTGGATGGCCCAAACGTCGCTCTTCCCTTTCATCTACTTTCTCCTGCTACGCTCTGTCCCCTTCTGCTTCATTCTCGGGGGAGATGGTGTCTTCAGTTTCCTGGTTACAACCTGCAGCAGCCTCTTTCTCTAAAGTTAACTCTATCCTCTCAGACATCCTGTCCCCCAAGTCCTTCTCATAACTCCTCCAAGTGACCCAGCTCCTTGACAGACCCTGGGCAGTCTGACAATGCTAAGGTCTAGACTCAGTGAAAAAAGGTGGTTTTGAATAAAAATATTATGTGGGACAGACCACTGTGTTCAGGGACTCACACCGACAAAGGGCACCCCATCCCAGTGCCTGTCGCCCCTGCCCTGTCCCCCCATCCCACTCTAGTGGTTCATTCTGGTCCCCTCCTTTTTCAGTCACCCTGAGGAGATTCAGAGGCTGTGGGAACAGAGAGGGGTAAGGAAGGGTTAGAATGTCCCAGAGAGGCTGGCGTGGGGACACCATTGCTGGAGAGACTGGCACAGGAGCTGGGAGGACGGGAGTACTTTTGCCGCCCTGGGGCCTGCTGAATATGGGAGTGTGTTTAGGCATCACACCTGGAACTTTCATCCATGACCTTCCGGCTGAAGAAGTCCTCCAGCCCCTCATCCAGGCAGCTGGCCATCCCGTTCTCCTGGCGTGTCCCAGGTACTGGTACCTGCTGGGAGGAAAGGCCTGTGAGATATCTCATCTAGCTCAGGAAGGCCCACTTCCCATCCACTCAGAGCCTTCCCCTTTGGAACTGGTCCCACAGAAATTTAGATTTCAGTTCACCTGGGCATCTCCTAAGCTCGGTGGCTCTTGGCTTTATCCTTCACCAAAATGAGAAGGTCACTGCCTAGCAGACAAAGATTTTTTTCTCTTTCTGAGATGGGGTCTTGCTATGTAAATCTATGTTGCTGATCCCAAACTCACGGGCTCAAGTTATTCTGCCTTGGCCTCCTGAGTAGCTGGGACTACCGGTGTGTGCCACCAAGCCTGGCTAGACAGAGGTTTCATATCTGTAATAAGGTATAGCTCTCCTCCAAACTGGATAATCCCTCAGCTGTTTTTCTGCTTGCCTGGACTCCTGCCCCAATGCCCAAAGCTAGTGTCTCTGCTATCTGGGTCCTACAGATAGATAGAACCCCTTTGCTCTGGCCTTGCTAAGGAAAGTTGGTCCTCTTGCAAGGCCTTTGGGACTCACGCTGGGCCGGCCAGGTCCTGGAGGGGTAGTCCTGGGGGGCCGGGGCCTCCCTTGTGTTTGATGCCTCAGTTTATAGCCATGAGTGGGCAGCTCAGATAGACCTTCCCAGGAGCCGCTAGCTGTGGGCTGGCTGCCCCCGAGTCCTGAGAACCAGCCAGGAGGGATTCCCAGGCTCCCCAGTTGGCTTTCCATGTCCTGAGGGCTCCCACCTATTGGCACAGGACTGTTAGAGGGACTAGCAGCAGGGACAGGGAGAGAGGAGGATGGAGAGGTAGGGAAAAAAGAAAGGGAAAAAGGGCCTGGGGAAGGGCGGGGAGCCTGGCAGATATTAAAACAGAGGGTGCGAGACTCACTGATGAAGGCAGATACTGGGCGGATCTTACGGCATCGTTTCTGCTTTTTGATGGCCATAGTGTCCTGCAGGAATGAAGACAAAGGGCAGGTCAGGGCTCAAGTCCTAGATCCTCACCTGAAGCCTCCCAGTCCTTACACAGCCTTTCTTAGGGTCCATCCTGTCTCTTTCTCCTCAGGTGGCTGACACACTGGGATAAAGGAAGAGGCTAGTCAGGCATGGGGCGCTGGAGAGTGGAGGCCAGACAAGTGGAGGTAAGGAGGGGGAGCAGTGCCGTAGGTTCAAGAGCCGGACCCAGGTTAAGGAGGGAAAGGGAGGTACAGGGGGCGGGGGGGTGGGAGGCTCACAATGTTGGTCCCAAGTTCATCATCTGTGGTCTCCTCATGGTCGTGGTTCCGGCCTCGGCCTCGAGAGGACAGATCCTGCCCTTGGCCTGGCCCTCCTTGTGGATCCGACAGTGTCCTTAGCTGGGTCAGGTGCCGGGCCTGGGGAAGACAGGCGTGAACAGCATCTCAGGGAAACTGCCCACCTCCCAGGGTCCGAAGTGGGCGGGAGCCTGGGTCCGTTCAGACTTACCAGGCTCTTGTGGGAGTGGTAAAGTTCCTGCAGGATCTCGTCCACTATGGAGTTGGTCAAGTAGGTGACGACCGAGAGCTTCACCTCGCTGTGGGCACAGGCGAGACTGCTTAGCCAGTCCCTGCCTGGCCTCTGCACCTCAGCACCTCCTTGCCTGGATGCCCGAGAGAATGGGCCAGCCGGCCTGACTGCCCACACGGAACGTGGCTGCTGTAGGAGGTACTCAGGCCCACCATACTCATGACTCATCCCACCCACTGACCTCCCCAGCCCGGGTGTGTATGGGCCAAGAGGAACTGAAGGAGGAGGAGGAGGTTCCAGGTCAAACGCTACAGTGGAACAGAGCTAGATAAGTTTGGGTGCTGAGCAAACCTTGCTGGTTGCTAGTGTAAGAGTAGAAGCCAGCACTTCTTGAGCCTGGCTATTTCACAGGTATGCATACTCATCTTCTTTGCTTTGGAAAGAGGTAGCACACTGACCCAGAAGGAAAGAACACTAGGTGCAGTGAAGACGGGCAGGAGAAGAGGGGTTCCCTACACACATGCCTGGCATCATTTTTCTCTGAGGAGGTTATGTTTTGTTTCTCGGAGGCAATTCCTGGCGTATACGTGTGAGTTTGTGTGTGTACACCTGTTCGTGCACCATCCTGGCTCCTAAACCCTAGCTTAGCGCTAAGATTTCTAAGGCAAAAACTAGTCCAACCCTCAATAGCAAGGTTGTACCGGGTTAAAGATTTATCCCTTGTAATGGAGATTTTCCATTTATTATTCATTGCTGATAGTTCTGAAGTCCCTAAGTGCTCTGGGCCAAATCCAGCCCCTCCCCAGGACCAATCCTCCGCCTCTCACTCCAATTTGTTCTGAATGTCCTGTCCCGCTTGCTCCAGCAGTGCCCCTCGGATGAAGTTCCGAGGCACAGTGACGCGCTCTGCCACATTGCTCAGCATCTTGTTGTGCCCCTCAGCCACCCGCATGGCCACAGGGCATAACTCCTGTGTTAGGCTGACCATGGATTCCAGGATCACCTAGTGAAGAGAAAGGAGGCCACAGCCCTAAGGGGATGGGGTCATGGCTGGCATCTCCGGAGAAGAGACTTTAGCCTATCTATTATAGTCCCTGCAGTGAGACTGAAGGCCCTAAGATCACACAGCTGGATCACACCCTTGGACACTCAGGCTTCCCCATTTCTTGGTCAGTGCTCCTTATACCCTACTATACAGGATAGGGGAGAGTCAGTTCAAGGATCAGAATACAGAGAAGGGGGAGGTAGGAGTTCAGGGTCCAAGGTAAGAGCTATCAGAAAAAACATCCAAGATTCATATTATTTTGGTGTTTTGGCACAGGGGAACTACGGGTGGTCTCGACTCTGTGCATTTCCTTCTTGCCTTCCAGTAATTTCCCTACTCTTGACATCAGCTCTTAGCTTAGGGCTCTGGTGAATGCTGGGCTCTCACGTGGCTTCCTCCCTCCCCCAGGACTTGCCTGCAGCTCCTTGTCCACAGCCTTCGACACCTCACTGGCCACTGACTCCAGCCTCTGCCGCACAGGCCCATCATTGGCCAGCACATGGCCCAGCTCATAGAGGCTGGGAAACAGCTGGGGAAGGAAGGAGTAAGGTTCAGAGACTAGAGCCAGGCCTCAGGAGATCCATGGGGGCCCTGGGCTAGGAGGACAGAGGCATAGGGCAGTGCCTGGACCTCCTGGGTTACATGGTGGGAGGGCTCACCGCCCGGGAGTTCTTGGCATCCTTGATGAGGTCCCGCGCATAGAGAAGTTCATCCTGCACAGGCTCCAAGGGGCACAGCCTCAGGGCCCGCACCTCCTCCTGCACTCGTCCACACAGCCGCTGCAGCATCTGGAGCACGGGGCAAGGAGTGTCAGGCATCCCCGGTTGGGCCTCTGGGTGCAACTGGTGTCTCCCTGATGGTAGTGATGGTAATGTCTCTTTGTGCCCCCACCCTGTGTGCTCCACCACATCGCTCCTGTGCCCTGAGAGCCCCATGCATGCCCCTTGTGTCCTGGAGGGAAACGTTTACTTGCTCGGCGCTGCTGGTCACCAGGCCCTGCTGCAGCCTGAATGCCTGTTCCTGGGGGCAGGTTTGGGAGTGATTGTTCCTCACCAGGCACCACTGGATCTGGAGACGAGGGAGTGGGCAGGGTCAGGGCTGGGGATGTGGGCTGCCCTCTGCCCCCTGCAGTCCCACTCTGCTCAGCACAGCACCCCACACCTTCTGCCAGACGTCCTCAGTGCGCTCAGGAGCACTGCGGTAGGCTTGGGAGATGTCGCTCACCGGGAAGGACATGAAGCGCAGTGTGTGGTTGCTGGGGGACACAACAGTAACAGCTGGATGGGGAAATACCTAAAGACCAGAGGCCCTGGCTCCCTAAAACCCACCCCTAGTTCATCATTCCCTCTTCTATGGCCCCTCCTTGCTTTTTTCCCCTGGTACCGGGAATCAAACTCAGGACCTTGCACTTGCCAGGCAGGCTCGGAGCCACTGAGCTACATACCCAGCACACTTTTCTTTTTTTTTTTTTTTTTGAGACAAGGTCTTGCTGTGTAGCCCAAGCTGCCCTCAAACTCATGGTGATCATTTCGCCTCAGCTTCCTGAGTGCTGGGGTTACAGGAGGGAACCACCACCACACCCTGGCCCTGCCTCATAAATCTATGTGAATAGGTCAAGGAGATTGGGGTGTGGCTAGAGTAGCTCACACCTGGTCCTGGCACATGATGGCCGGGGTTTGAATCAGGCCAGGGCCTTGGTCTACTCACCTCTCCAGGGCCCTTGCGATGTCCAGGAAGCCCAGGGCAGATGTGTTGTTCCGATCCCATAGGATAGTTCTAGGGAGGTGAGCTCCAGTTTATCATCCCTCTCTCTCTGGGTCCCCATCAGGTGCCAGGGATGGAAGCCTGTCTGGGGCCCTCCCTCTTTTCCTAGGTACTGAGGCTGACTCAGAGCCTGACTCAGAGTTCTGGGACTGGCTGTCTTCCACAGGCTGGGGTACAGAGCATGGAGCCCAGCAGGGAGAGTCTTGGGGCTCGGGGTCTAAGGGTCCAGGTGTTGGCATCACCTGAGGGACGAGTTTATCTGCAAGGCCTTAGACAGCATCTTAGCCCCGATGTCCTCCATCCCATTGCCGCTCAGATCCACTTTGGCCAGGCAGGTGTTGCTGCCGAGGGCATTGATGAGGATGCTGGTTCGAAGCTTCAGCCGGGAGTCTGCCACCGACAGTGACTGCAGGGACTGAGTGGCAAGTGGGGGTTGGGTCCAGCCCCTGCAGCCCCTGCCACTGCAGGTCCCCTCCTAGGGCCCGTCACTCACACAGTCCTCTTCCTGGATCAGCTGCACCAGTTTATGTAGGATCTCCTCCAGGGTCCTGTGGGGAGGCGGGGCTCAGAGCAGGAGGGGAGGGGGCTGGAGTCATGCAATTGGAGGAGAAAGTGGCCAGAGGTAACACAGCCAGCCTAGGACAGATGGATGATAGGAGGAGGGTCTGTGGGTGTGTGGTGGGGGCTCACTTGGCCTTGACATTGAAGTTCTTGCCCAGGAACAGGTGCTTGAGAGACTTGTTCTTGCCAAGTGCAGGCACCAATGTCAGGAGGTCGGAGTCGAACCCTGGTCAGTGGATGGGAGAGGCCTGGCCTTGAAGCCTGAGGCTTACCAGCGTCTCCTCAGGGCTTCTCCTGCTCAAAGAGGCACCCCTACTCACCATTGTCTGACAGATCAAGGCTGCCCACACAGGTGACAGATCCCAGCTGCTCCTGCAAGGCTTGGGCTCCTGCTGAGCGGAGCTAGAGATGGGGTAAGGCAGGGAAGGTAGAGTTCAGGGTGGGCGACAAGCACCTTTAATCCTTAGAGACCAGAGTGGTCAGGTCATCTCCAGGCTCATGGTCATTCCAGGTCTTGGGTGTAAAATCAGGGAGACCCCCTTCTCCACATCCCATGCTTCCCTAGGGCTTCTCCCTTTCCTCAGCCAAAAACGCTGCCACTAAAACAGCCTGCTCCTGCCCTCTGCTGGGAAAGCCTGGTATCTCCCACCCACAGCTTTGGAGGCTGATTTACTAGCTTTGGAAAATGAATGGAAGTTCTCAGACCACAGTCTGAGAGGCAAAGCAGAGGTGTGGAAAGGGCAGGGAGCCGCAGTGCTGTAAGTGCAGAGGTGAGGTGGAGCGAGGGTTTGACTCTGGTTGGAAAAATGAGTGCTTGGGTGGTGGTGAGGGGGAGGTAGGCCTCACCTCACAGCTGCTGAGGTCCAGGTGCAGATCGCTGAGGTGGCTGTTGAGGGAGAGGCCCTGCAGCAGCGCCCTGTGGGAGGAAGGTCATAGGCCCACATTCACTCCTCCCCACACCCCATGGCTCCCTTGGATGCCCCCAACCCTGCACCCACCCGACCTGAGGGCCTCCAGAGGCAGTCTTGTGGCCGACAGGTTGATGTGGCTCAGTGTGTAGGTGCTGCTGAAGAACTGCTTGAAGGCCGGTGGGGCCTCCCGGCCCTTCCTGTGGAGACCGCTGGGATCAGCAAAGGAGGGGACTGCCACAGCTTGCCCCGAGCCTCCCTGCCCCTCCTGACCCAACCTGTGGGTGCAGCTGTTTCGAGCCAGGTTGAGGTAGGTGAGGTGGGAGCAGCAGCCATGGAGCAGGGCACCCAGAAGCTGTGCGGAGAGTAATGGTGGCATTCAGAGGGGCTGGGAGGACAAGGATGGGGTGGGGCAAGGACTCTCTCTGCTCTCCCTTCACGGTCCTGGCTCCTGTCTCTCTCTGTGAGTTCTTTCCCTAAGCTTCTTCTTTTTTTTTTTGTACCAGGGATCGAACTTATGACCTTGTGCTTGCGAAGCAGGTGTGGCGCCACTGAGCTAAATCCCCGGCCCCCCTAAGCTTCTTAAGTAATTTTTTTCTGCAATAATGAGGATTGAACCCAGGGCAAACACTGAGCTACACTCCCGGGCTTTTTTATTCTTATTTTTATTTTGAGACAGGGTCTCAATAAGTTGCCCTATCCAGGCTCAAACTTGGGATCCTTCTGCCTTAGCCTCTGAGAGTGCTGGGATTATAGGCATGCACTGCCACACTTGGCCTCAAAGGCTCTGTTTTCTTCTCCATGGAAAGTGGGTCTATTCCCTGCCTGGCGGCCATGGGTGTAGAAAGACTCACAGGCAGTAGATGTGTAAGCAGGGACACTACTGGCTCCCTGGGTGCCTTTTCAAGTTAGGGGACTCATCCTTCCCCACTAGTGGAGCAGCACTAAGCCAGGGTGCACAATGAGGAATGGAGAGAGGGGTGGCTTTTGTCACAGCCTTGTGACCTGGATAAATGCACACAGGTATGAGCTACTGCTGAAACTGAAGTCATCCCAGCTGCTCTGCCTACCCTCATACTCAGGGAAGAAGGGATGAGACAGACATCATCCTAGCCTCCCCAAATCTCTTCTGCCTGGCTCCCCAAATCACCAACTCCTCACCAGGTCGACAGTGCAGTCAGTCCCTGACAGGTCCAGGTGGATCAGGGCATTGGGCTGGGCCAGGAAACTGTAGAGGGCCTGGGGAAGAGAAGACAGAGAGACTGCAGGGGAAGGAGTGGAACAGTCTCTCCAACCCAGGGGCCACAGAGCGGAAGACTCTCAGGTCCTAAAGCCTGAGTGTGCTTCTGTAGGGAGTCGAGGTGACATTCCATGCACTCACGTTGGCCTCATCTGTGGCGAGCAGCCCAGGGTTCTTGCTCAGGTCCAGGTATCGAAGGGAGCTGGCAAAGGCCGGGTTGGCCCCGAAGGTCTGGCCCAGCGCCTGGAGCCCTGAGCACAGCGGGCACTGGGCTGGGTTGGCCCCCATCCCCACCTTTCCCCCTCTGCATACAACTCTTCCCGTCTCCCAAAATGTGATTCCTTTCCCTCCATCTATCCCTGAGGTGGTACGTGAGTGTGTGGGTACACATCTGGGGCTCAACATCCCGGGCAGCACTGGGGGAAGCCTGAGGTCAGCAGTCAGAGGTCCTGGTGTGAGTACCTCGTGGGGAAATGGCAGTCTTGGCCAGGCACAGCTTGGTGAGGCCGGTAGGGAAGCAGAGGAGCTGCTGGCTCAGACTGAGGAAACCTGGGGAATGGAGAGAGAATGGGCCCAGTGAGAGGCTGGGCCGTAGGTGCAAGTCGCAGAGAGTCAGATGGGGCTCAAGTGGGGTGCAGGCCTGGGGTCAAGGGTCAGGTGTGGGGGCAGGGGCTACCATCAGGCTGCGGAGCCCCTGTTCAGACCTGGGTTGGGCTCTGGGCTAGGACAGGGTCTGCATTGTGGAAGGAATAAGATTCAGGGCTGGGGCTCACCCTTGTCCTCGATGGGGTTGTGGGACAGAGTGAGGGCATGCAGCACACAGCTCCCGTTCTCCCCAAACACCCCGGCCAGCTTCTGGACAAAGTCCCTTCAGGGAAGGGGAGGAAGGATTTGTCCTGAGCTGAGCCCCAGGTCCCAGCCCCTGGTTTCCCCTCCTCCTCTACCTGCCTGTCTGGCTGGGGCTGCAATGGTCAGAGCAGAGGCTGCCCCACAGGGGCTGCCCCACAAGGGCCAGCTTGGGGCCTGCCAGGGACCTTGTCACCTCTCTGGAGTACCTGGGGCATTCCACACCTTAGGAAGTTGGGCTGAGACAAAGCCCAGCTTCGTGTCTTCAAGACTGGAGCAGCCCACTCTGCTAGATAGTTGATAGAAAGGGGTACAGGACATGGAATGTATTGGAGAAAGCCATGCAAGCATCTAGGGCATCAGGAGGCTGGGGTCTAAGTCCCAATTTGACTGCTGGTTTGCTTTGTGTCCGCTTTGGGCCTCAGGCTCCTTTCTAAAGATAGGAGCTGGATGAGATAGTGCAGGGGCCCATATCATGCTCTGAGGTTTGGGGGCTCTAAGACTACATGATGGGGGCATCACTGGCCACAGAGGAGGCTGGCCTCACGTCTTAAGCCCAGCATTGTCCAGCACCAGCTCTTCGAGGCTCCCCGACTTGCTCAGGGTATGTAGCACCTGTTCTAGCACTTCTGAGCCCTGAGGACAGAAGGGTCCTGAGATCAGGAGCCAAGGAGGACGTGACTCTCCCCTACCCTAGCCCTTCCTAATTCCTACCAGCCGAAGGTCTTTGCAGTAGAGTTTGGTGAACCACTGGTTGTAGGCCAGGGCTGCCACCATTAGGGCCAAGTCTCTGTGGGGACATTGAAAGGATAGGAAGTGGTAAGCAGGTGGCTGTGACAGGAAAGAAGAGGCCAGGGATGGGGGGCTGGGTTGGGGCAACCTAGATGGGAGATGGCAGTGGGGACAGAGGGAATTGGGGAGGTAGACAGGGGCTGTGGGTGGGACTGGAAGGGAGATTCCGGGTAGGGTCAGAGTTGAGAATGTGTGTCGGGGGGGTGCTGAGTCTCTGACCCATCTGCTTACCGGCTCTCCAGGTGGCTGAAATCCAAAAGATTGAACTCGCGGTTATCCTCGGCATGGTAGATGGTGTCCACATCCTTGAGGAGGTGGAACTGGCTCACACCCACTCTCAACCCCTTCTCTGCCTCCTCCCTCTGGGTCCCACCTGCTCCCTGCTGGGTCCCAGCCCCACGCACCCATTGCACTTCCTCACGGCAGTGCAGGCCATTGTAGTCGCACAGGGCAGCATAGGTCTCAGAGAAGCCACCTGTGGGGTGAGAGATGGGCTGGCTTCATGAATGGTAAGGTGACGGGGAAGGGGCTTGGGGTTCAAGGAACAGTGAAGGTCACTGAAGGTACGAGTGTCCCAGATTCCTGATACTCCAGGAACCTTCTGAGGCCCAGGAGCTGGGGTGTCCTTAGGGTAGGCAAAGGCCTCTCCAGCCAAAACGAATGTTCTGGACATGGGACAAGGTGGCCTGGGTAGGTCCCGCAGTGCTGTCTGCCCCTGCTTACCACACACACTGTGAGTGGTAGATGTGGAAGTCTCAGAATTGGGGGATGTATCTCGGGGTCCCTCTGGGGTGTCTGCATTTGCACGCCGGATCAGACACCTGGAAGATGAACAAATCATCCCAGAGAGTGGTGGAAAGAGGCTCTCAATTCTCCCCCAATTACAGCTTCTGAGTCCCCAAGCAAAAGCAGGAGGGGGCTATGCGCACTCTTGTGCACACAGAGAAGGATAGGGCCTGGGGAAGAGAAGTCTTCTTGTTGAATCCCTCGAAGGACGCTTGTTGGCCACTTACCCAGGGCCCGGGCAGACCTTGGAAAGGGCGGAGCTCACATGTCGGGTCACCTGGTCCACGCTCTCAGCTGATGGCAGCCGCAGGCTCACCATGCCCCGCTCAGTCTCCACCAGGATCTGGGGTACAGGGGGTGGACGGCCTCAGATATTGACTTTGACTCCCTTTTCCAGGTGGTCCAACAGCAGGCTGAGTCCCGGTGCTCACCTGGTTCTGACCGAGGGTGTTAAAGGCGCGGATCTCCAGGACATTGAAGGAGCTCTCCACCTGAAGGGACAGGGATGCCCAGCTCCTGGTAAGAGCCTGGTTGCCAGGCATGGGCGGGAGCATGCCAGGTGTCTTCCATTCCTCCGCCCAACTCACCTTGGCAGGGACCTTAAGGGGGAAGAGGTGGAGGCGCCAGGAGGTCAGGGCCTGCAGATAAGAGTAGGGGTGGTTTATGGCAGCTGCCTGGGCACTGGTGCCCCTGCCCTCCTTTAGTCTGCTCAGCTCTGGGTGTGCCCCCTCTCCCGCCCGACCAGAGGCTCCTGGACATGACCTAGTCCAGGCCCTCCCCCTCCCCCAGGCTTTGTCTCCTCAGCCCTTCCCCACTTCTGTCTCTCCTGCCCACCTCCTTCCTCCCCGCAAGACCAATTTCCTCACCAGCACTCTGTCCTCAAACTTCTTGGGTTTTGTCTCTAGCTTCACGCGATGTTGTTGGAACACAGCACCTTGGCTGAGGCACCTCCGGATACTGTCTGCAGGTGGGTGGGGGGCGTGCTCAGAGCTCCTCTTATCCCTGCTAGCCCCACCTCCCAGGGCTCTCCAGACAGAGGCAGAGGCAGGGGCAGATGAGAGGGGAGAGAAACAGGGACAAAGCACAGGATAGAGACTTTTCCTTCTTGAGTAACTTTTCCTGTTAGAAAGGGAGTCTCATGGGTTGAAAACTCTAGCTCCTGGTGTCCCCAAGTCAGGGGCCGTTTGCTGAGTGACTGTTTGTGGGAGGGTGTGTCTTAACACTTCTGAGGGTGTGAGGATGTTTCTAACCCATGTACTACAGCAGCCATCAACACATACACAGTGAGTCAGTGTGTGGGGATGTGGGGGTGTCCCTTGACGCTATCTATGTGGTGTGGACGTGAGGCTGCCTTTACTATGGGTGTGTGCATACTTCTGATGATGCCAGGAGCCCGAGCGTGGCACCAGTGGGGACCGAGAAGTGTGAATGAGTATGCTGGCTTGCAGCTGTGAAAGGGGCACAGCGCCAGGCTGGGGGGCGAGGGCAAGGATTTTAGTGGGTAAATGAGCCCCATACCCATCTGCTGGCAGAACCGGCCAGACAGCCGGATATGTGTGGATATGTGCGGTGGGGGTGCAAGTTTCTGAACGATGAGTACACACATCTCAGGATTGTGCTCCTGTGCATGTGTAGGTGTGGGGAATCGCCACAGTGCAGCATGGCTCTGAGTATCCTTGAGCATCCTGCTCTCTGCCTGGGCTAGCCTGTGCTCCTGCCTCTGGGGGTCAGGGCTGTGGCAGTGTTGGGTGCCGGCCTTGGTCTGGCCTGAGTCTGAGAGCTCAGCAAAGCAAGCAGTAGAGGCCTTGAGGTGTGGGCAGTGGGTGTTGAGAAGGGAGCAGACTGCGACTGCAGAGGGTGAGCCACAGAGACCTTGCTCTCGGTTTGTGCTCCAACCCTGGGCCTCTTCCCCTGACTCCCTCCTCTGCCCACCCTGGTCTGGGCGCTGCTGAGCTCCTAGGAGCATCTCCAGGGCCAGTTCCGGGGCGGGGCAGAGAGGAGGGAGGGTACTGAGACCGACAGCGGTCAGGACCTCCGAGACTCCTATCTCCTGGCCCCGCCCGGCCGGGGGTGGGGAAGCGGGGACTCTGGAGGGGAGACTGGACGCCTCGCCGAGGGGTGGGTCAGGAACACTGACAGCTGGCCCCGGGCAGCGCAGAAGAACTGCACCTGTCACCGAAGAGCGGGACGGGCGGTGCCAGGACAAGAAGGTTCTGATAGGGTGAAGCGAGCAGAGGAGGATGCTCCGGGGACAGCGATGCCCGCGCTGGGACGAAGGGGTAGGGGCTGCTTGGAGCGAGGACGCACGAGGGGGCACAGGCATCAGGCTGGGGTGTACCACGGGCAGGAAAACGCTGGGTCTGGGATGCTCCCGGACGGGGCGTCCCGGGGACTGAGGCGACCTCGTACCTTGCAGCTCTCGGGTGAGCTCCACGCTGGCCTTGGCCATGGTGGCCGCTGCTGCTTCTGCAGAGGAGCCGCCGCCGCCGCCGCCGGGGAGCCGCGGCACATGCTAGTCCCGGCTCCGGCAGGGCCCGGCTGCGCGCTGCAGCCGCCGCCGAGCCCGCGCCTGTCAGGGGCGGCTGCGCGAGCGCTCCTCCCCCGCCCGGGAGCACCGGGCCTCCTGCCCCTCCCGGAGAGTGCCAGTCCGAGCATGCGCGCAGCGCCGCGGAGCCGCTTGAGACCCCTGAGCGCGCTCACGCCGACCCCTCCCGCGGGCTGCCTCGTGAGAGGCTCGGTGCGGTGCGCGTCGAGTGGTGTTCCCGCTGTCTCCAGGGCTCAGGGCAGCATTCCCGCTTCCTGCACCACCTACTCCTCTCTGACACCTAAGGTGGAACACCCCCCAATTTCTTTGTTGATGGGCCTGGGTACCCCTTGGGGCTCATCCTTGAAGAGCCCCGCCCTTTAACCCCCGCCTGCTCCGGACCAGTCCAGCTTGTCCTTGCTGACCCTGGAGGGAATTCCGAACCAAGGGCAACGCCGGAAGACCTGGGTGGATCAGAGGGAGTTCGTCCTTTCCTGCTTGCCCACCCACCCTCGGGGATCCCCGTGGTGTCCTTGGCACCTGTCCCTGGGGATGTGAGGCTGAGAGTAGCACCTGGGAGTTCCCGAGCCATCTCCTCCCAGCTGACAGCTCTGCAGACACCTCCATCCTTGAGCATCAAGCTCAGATCCTGGAGATAGGGAGGAGGGATGGGGGATCCAGAGGTGCAGCCTGCCCAGACTTCTACTGTCTGCTCAGTTGCCATACTTAAGCACCTCACACTGAGAAATGAACACACTGATTCAAAGCAAGGCGGTCATCTGCATTTTATTTGCACCTCATTTGCAAGCTGTTAATTTCCAGGCCTGCTCCTTCTACTTCAAGTTCTCCCCCATCTCCCTTCAGATTCCCTAGAGACCTAGGGAAAAAAATTTGTTGGTCTTTGCCAAGGTAGATGCAGGCTTCTCAGCAGGCTTGCACTGTGTTCTCAAGGGAAGTCTTTATCCAAGGCTACAGCAACAGTGAGAACCCTCATCAGACCGCTCTTTGAGACGGGAGAGCTGGGACCCTATCACAAGGGAGAACCTCAGAGGCGGGATGGAGTTCCTCCCCCTACCACCACTGTCTCCCCTGTGATGTAGCTGGCGTCTTCAGAGCACATAAAAGACACGATGCCTGCACACTCCTCTGGCTTGCCAAGCCTGGGAGACAGGGGAAACAAGGAAGGGAGGAAAAATCAAACAAGCAAGGCCCCATCACCTGGCCCAATGAAATTTGCTTAACCAAGAATTATTAGATGATTTTGCCGGAACAATCTAGGAGCTTTTTGCTTACCATGAGCATAAGTGGTTATAATTTAGTGTAAGCATAAATACTGTACTCTGCAAAACCATTACAATTATATTTAAATAATATAGAGACACTGCTTTGTAGAGAGCTCAGAACACCAAAATCTAGTTTTATTGATAAAATGGTGAGTGATTATTTCCTACTTCAAAAGAACTGGTTTCACATGTGTACACTCTATTCAAGTGTCAGGGAATCTGTGACAGTAAATGAAGTGTTTAAAATGATTTCTTTTGTACAGGTTCAGTACAGATAGCTTCTTTAGGAATTTGTTTTTGTTCTTTCAGGTTTTGTCCTTTCAGGACATTTGTTTTGTAAGAATGTGGTAATTCTCATTGTATTAGTGATTCTATACTATAGTTAGGAACACTTAAACCGACTGCTATAGAATGCTGTACAGGTGGATAGAGTGAGTGGTTCAAATCTAGAAGGCCTAGATTAGTGGTTCACCAATCTAGCTGTATGTTGCAGTCATTTGGAATTTGAGAGGCTTAACAAAAAGAAAAAAACCCCGAAAAAAAGATATGCAGGTTCTCCTCTGTAAAGAAGAATCCCCCAAGTAAAGAAGAATCTTTGCTCTGGGGTCCGAACAACTGCAGTTTGGAAAGCTCCCCAGGTGATTCTAATGTGTATCCAGCATTGTGATGCAGGGGGCTAGATCATTCATCGGTGCTCTAGATGACAATCCCCGGACTTATTAACGGGCTGTGTACTAGGGCTGCAGCTCATGCCTGACATCAGAATGGCTTTGGGAGGACTTGGTTCTGGGATGTTTGGGCCAGTAAAGAGGTAGGCATTGCTGGCAGTTGTCCTTGAGGGGTCAAGATGGAGAAGACAGACAAGAGGGCCCAGGAGCCAGAAGGTGGAGAGAGGCAGGTAACTTAAAGGAAAGAGAGCTCAGCAGAGGTGTCTGAACAATTCAGCCAGGCCACCAGGGAAAAGAATAATTTCCTTATGCAAAGGAATTTGGAGCTCAGTAAAGCTCTTCATTCCTCTTATTTGGATCGTAGGATCATCAACCAAGCTTTGGAAACATGATTGCTTATTAAAGGTGAGCTAACTAAAAAGCATGGTTTTGGTTTTGGTTTGATTCCTAGTTTCCACAGATGCCCGGAGGTAGAGGTAGACAGGAAGAGAAAGAGAGGGGTCAGGGCTCCTTTCAGCTTGGCTCTGCTGAAACCTTGATGCCTATGCTTTTTGTAATGGAAGCAGGCTCCTTGGCTGCCTCCGCAATGAAGGGTTTCTGAGCTTTAAGTCTGTAAGGCAGGGATGAGCATGGCCATGTTATCTGTGGACCCAAGACATAGCTGTGGGCTAAGTTAAGGACGAGACCTTTCCACTTTTATTCCTCCTAATCATCCCGTGACAGCTTACCTTCTAATACGCATGATTTCTTTTATGCTGTCCTCTCTTGCCTCGCCCATCCACAACTGCGGGAAGAAGGAATATCTTTATTTACCCAATAGGCGCAGCAAATGAGAAGAAAGATGGAAAGACTTCTCCTTTCACTCCCTGTTGCTTCTTGACTCCCAGCCCTCCCCAGTGCCCTCCTCTGTTTCATTCTTTTAGCCCCAGTAAATGATCCATGTGTCTTGCTGGGTCTCCTCAATTCTCACCCACTTTAGGAGATATGAAAGAGTGTGAGTAGAGTCTGAATTCCACAGTCTCTACCCTGCATGTCAGGAAAGGAATGTGTGTGCGTCTGGTCTGAGAAAGGCAGCTGGCATGGAGAGGGGATAGAAATGGGTGAAAGCTCAGGGTGCAGGTACTAGGCTTCCCAGTCCGAAAAGATGGATGCCCTTGAAAGGGTCCCAGGGGGCTGCAGGCTTTCCCTTCCTCACCATACTGCTGAAATTAGTCTTGATGAGTCCAGGTGCCAAACAGTTCACTCTAATGTTCTTCGGAGCCAGCTCTAAGGCCAAGTTCTTGGTAAGACCCAATAAGGCTGTTTTACTAACATTGTAAGGACCCAGGCCCTAGGGAAAGAAGAGAATGGGTTACTCTGTTGGTTACCAGGTCATTCTTGGTACTTATTTGACCTCAAGGGCAGTGGTCAATAGGTGTCTCCTTAAAGGAGGGTTGCAGTCAGAGTGCACGGAGGCAGGCATCTATTTGGTGGGAAGGGCCTTGGTGATGTGATTCTAAAACAGGACATATATTGCTTTGAGCAGTTGGAAGGGTGAAAGATGTGGACTGAAGAGTGGGCTAGAAGTGGCAGACAAAGGGGTTCTTACAAGATGTGGAGAGAAGGCTGCTATGGAAGACACAATCACCACTGAGCCACCTCTGAAAAAAAAGAGAGCTGGTCTTCTTTCCACTGGAGACCACTGCCCTCAGCCCCTGTGGGGCCCCGTCTCACCCAGGCCCTCTCTCACTCGCTGTACCCTCGTTTCTCCATCTCTGGCACCACTTCTTTTGTCATCAAGGCTGTGGCCTTCACATTAATGTCTAGAACCTGAAACAGAGAGAAGGGGAAACAGCTTAACAAGTGTTGGAAGGGCACAGTGACGAGGAGTCACTGTGTGCTCCTAGGATCTGTTTGTTAGAGCTGATGGAGACTTCAAGGATAGTTTACCCTGGCCCGACAAAGAAAGAAGCAAGGGTTCAGGGAGATGCACCTCTTGCCAGCTCATTCAGCTGCATGACGACGCATTAGGTTGAGGTGAGAAAGAATGGAGTCTGGCTCATCTCTCTCAACCAGCCAACTATGAGGAGAGCCAGAATGAGCCTAAATTCTCAGGGTAACTTTTGACTTGAGCTAGGTTTTCTTGTGTTTCTTCCAAGTAGGGAGAGCTTGGAATTGGATCTAGAGTGGGCTGTGCCCCTCAGGGAAGATGTGCCCTGACTTGTGCACCTGAGGTGGTTCAGGTATTTCTTTGGCTTCTGAGCTTAGAGAGTGGATGCTCTTGGGCCTCCAGGATGGATGATTTAGTTGGAGATTTATCAGAAAGTGAGATCACGAGGAACTTCTTTCTGGGGAAGCTGAGGCATAAGCCAAAACCAAAAGCTCCATATTCCCAAATTTAAAACAATTGTATGACCTTATTTGCACTCTTCTAATGTAAATGATATTGGGATATTCCCCTCCCAGCCCCCATGCAAACTTATTCTGAAAAACTTCAATCTTGCAAAAAAAAAAGTTGTAATAGAACCTAGATTCATTCATTATTCACTTTTTGCTTCATTTGCTGTATGTGTCCATACAGTTTTTTAAAAAACTGAACCATTGAAATGAAGTTGCAGACATGACAATGCTGTATCTCTAAATACCTTAGAGTACATGTCCAAAAACTAAAAACATTCTCTTGCACATGCATAATTTATTATCACACACAAGAAATTTAACAATGGTAACATTTTTTTTCCTATTGTCTGTCTTTTATTTTGCACTTTCTTTATAGTTTGGATTTCTCATATAAGAAAAACCATGTGATATTTAAGCTTGTGTGTCTGATTTACTTCACTTAACATTATGAATCCATTTTCCTAGAAATGACTCAAGGTTATCCTTCTTTATGGCATAGTAGTACTCCCATTGTGTATAAACATCACATTTTCTTTATCCATTTATTTGTTGATGGACATATAGGATACTTCCTAGAATTAGCTATTATGAGTTGTGCTGCTGTAAACATGGGTATGCATGTATCTCTATAATATGATGTCTTTAATTCTTTCAGGAAGACACCTAGAAGAGGAATAGCTGGGTCAAATAGAATTTCTATTTTTAATTTTTTTTTGGTACTGGGGATCGAACTCGGGACCTTGAGCTTGCAAGGCAAGCAACAGAACCACTGAGCTAAATCCCTGGCCCTACTTTTAGTTTTTTGAAGAATTTCCATACTGATATCCTTAGCGGTCGTACCAATTTACACTCCCACCAACAGTGAAGAAGGGTCTCCCCCTACCCTGAAGCCTCTCTAGAACTTGTTATTATTTCCCGTCTTAAAAATAGCCATTCTTTCTGGAATGCTGTGGAATTTCAGTGTTGTTTTAATTTGCATTTCTTGAATGGTCAGTGATGTTGAACATTTTTCATGTACTTTTTGGCTGTTTATACTTTATCTGAGAAGTGTCTATTCATTTCAGATGCCTAGTTTTTGACTGGGTCTTTACATTTGTGGGGTCTAATTTTTTTGAGTTCTTTATATATTCTAGATATTAGTCCTTTGTTGAGGAGTAGTTGGCAAATTTTTTTCCTACTCTGTAGGTTATCTCTTCACTCCAGTGGTGGTTTCCTTTGCTGTACAGAAGTTTTTTTAACTTGATATGATCCCATTTGTTGATTCTTGGTATTATTTCTTGTGCTAACAGGGTTCTGTTAAGAGTCTTTGCCTAGCCCTATGTCTTCAAGAGTTTTACCTTGATAATAGTAATTTTATCTACTCTGCTGTCTACAGTAAGCTTTCCCAAATTGTACCTAAAATTCACATCTTAAAAAGTTTCAAGCTGGGCTTGGTGGTATGCACCCATAATCTCAGCACTCAGAAGGCTGAGGCAGGAAGATCATTGTGAGTTTGAGGCCAGCCTGTACTACATAGTGAGACCCTGTCTCAAAAAACAAACAAAAAATTGCAGAGTACAACTGAGGATCAGTCATTGCATTTAGGTTTGATATACTATCATATTAAAGAAATATAAACTAAAAAGAAAAATTACTTAGTCAAAAACCTATTTTCATGTACTGTCTAGACTGTTCACAAAAGATGTTTCTTCACTTTAAAGTATCAAAATCAGAGCTGTTTCACTGAAGAACATTTCAGCACTTTGCTCCTTATATGTGTGAAACACTGATAAATAAATTGTAATATTTTGTTAAACGTTAGTGTTCAGAAATTATTGACATTAGTGCAATCATTAGTGGGAGATCATAAGAAATTTAGTATTTCCAAATCTCATGGGAATATTAACCTTAGTAAATAAAGGCAAATATTTTAATTAAAGCTTTATAACTAGAGGATGTAGGTGAGTGAAATATATTATGAGTATGATGTAAGCATACACAATCACATGAAATCCAAAATTCCTGTATTTGAATTTAGACATCTGGCTCTTAGGTTTTCACAGTACCGCCGTTAAGAAGAAAAGAGGACAGGTCTTTTTCAAAGGCTGTGTGATATAAAGCAGCAGCTTTGGTCACGCCACCAGAATTGGTATTTCACCTCACTGGCAGCTATTAATGCTTCCCGGCTAATGAAAGAGCATTTCTTTTTGGCAGCTAAAAAGAGGACGGGTGGGTGTGTAGGTTTAAGTGTATTAGTTGTTGGCCTATTAGCTGCCACATCTCTGCTGGAAATAAACCAGGAAGCAGAGCGTGGGTAAGCACACTGCGGGAGAGAGCTGGAAAGAGAAGCAGAAGGTGGCTGGCAGAGAACAAATGGAAGGCAAAACTGGGGAGAAGCAGAGATGAAAGAGAAGAGCAGGACAGAGGAAGCCCCCCCTCACTTGCACTTTACCAAGTGCAGGCCAGGTAGGTGCCACACCACATTTACATGGCACTTGATGGAGACATTGTAAAAGCAGACTGAGTTTGCACTGAATGTTTTCTGAGGCCTGTCCATCTGCAGCTTTAATCCTCCCTCACCTTGTCCCATACGTCCTCAGTGACATCCATCAGGTTTCCAAAGAAGGGATTGACGGCAGCATTGGAGACCAGGATATCAATACCTCCATGAAGTTTCACAGCCTAGAGAGAGGACAAGGTCTAGGTTAGGGCTACAGGTAAGTAAGGGAGATTCATTTATCAATGTTCATAAGAAATATCTTGTTTTTTTTTTTTTTTTTTGGTAACGGGGATCAAACTCGGGTCCTTGTGCTTGCGCAGCAGGCGGCGAAACCACTGAGCTAAATCCCCGGCCCCAAGAAATATCTTCTTAAGAACAGTTGTTGGGGCCGGGGATTTAGCTCAGTGGTGCTGCTGCCTGCCTCTAAAGCACAAGGACCCGACTTCGATCCCCGGTACCCCCCACCCCCGCATCTGTAAGAACAGTTGACAAAATTAAATCTCCTTTTCTTAGAAACATTTTCTCTAAAGCTACTCTAATCTCTGCTGCTAACCATTTAAGGTTGTCTTATTTCTTTGGCAGTCTTTCTAGCCTGCCCTTCCTTCTAAGGGTGTCTCTGACCTTTTGCTCTTTTCTTTACATCTTCTCTCAGGGGAGCTCCTTCATTATCATGCCTTCAACTCTTGCCGCAAAATCTATTTCTAGATCCCCCTCTTCTTTTCACACAGAGTTACAGTCCTAATTCCCCAAGTGCTTGCTGTCTGGTCTCCTTGAATGAGTTACCATGATCTCAGAGTCAACCTTCCACATTTACCTGAATGGAGGAACCGGTTTAAACAGGCTTATGAAAGGTCACCAGTGGGAGGGGCCTTGTCATCTAGCCCAATGTCCTGTTGGTGGAGGTGATGAACATGTAGTCCACTGAAGTTAATTTAAGATCATATGACTCAGTAATGATGCACTAGGGTCAGCTACAAATAGGAAGCCTGCTCATTTGGTGTCTGAGAGATGTAAGAGGATTTGCTCAGGGCACAAAGCTAGTGGTGGCAGAACTAAGATGAAGTGTTCTGGTGTATTTTGTGGTACAGAGCTAGTTCCCAGGAGCCCTTTGAAAGTAAGGTGGATCACTGAAACTGGCTGCCAGGAGCGCCACGATGGTGAAGACATTTGCCTGGGTTTAAAACACTTCCACAGTCAGCTTTGATGCCATTTTCTCTCTCTTCTTTTTGGCCCAGAGGCACAGAAGATTCAAGGCAGAAACTGACGTTTAAATTGAGAAAGTCAAGAAAGAAGATATCCCACCTCCTTAATAAGTTGTAAGCAGGAGGCAAAGGCATGTGCTAGAGTAGTCACTGGCCAAGGACAACCTTCTAACAAAGGTTTTCAATACTGCCACTCCGAAGCCAGACTTTGTGTTTGCCCCAAACCGGCAGTTTTGATGCTTTGGGGAAGTAACACTAAATGGGCCCTTGATCAACTTTGTGGCTCAGCTTTGGCACAGGAAGGGTGTTATTAACAATGCACACCATCTGCTAGCTTCTCCTTTTAACTAATTATTCCTGCTAACGAGGTGCTAAGCTCAGTTGTTTCTACACTGCTAAAGGAATGCCTGGGCTGTCAATATGTAAATGTAACAAAATTTAAAGTCACACAATCTTTTAAAACTAGAACCAATACTTTCTCGTGCCCTCTAAATTTTGGCATTGCGGCACAAAGCCCTATTGTAGTTACTTGCCTTGGCTCTGTCAAAGTCTCACAGACTTGTGACTGGGAAAGTGTAGATTAAGTTGGAGGTGATGCATATGTATTGGGGTGGGGACAGAAGAGTGGTTTGTACCAGAATCACCTGGAGACCTAGGGGAGAAGGCTGTTTTTTCCATTTGAAATTAAAAAAAATTTCTATTAGTACCCGTTTACAGTACATGATTACATTCATCATGGGGAATTGGTATATTTACATAATACATCTTAAATCTTTTTATGTCTCCTTCTCTTCCCCTCCCTCTCCCTTCCTCTCCCTTCCCTGCATCTCTTGGTCCCTGAGAAGGCTGATTTTGATTGAACAGAGACAGAACCATAAAGATGAAAGAGAAAGGCACCTATGACCTTTCTCTAAAGATCTTGCTCTGAATTGCATGATCACTACACTAACGTGGGTAGGAGTTGTCTGTGTCCTGACATCTATTTACCTATTTCTTTCTTTCTTTCTTTTTTTTAGAAACAGTATAATCAAGTGGAGAAGCTGCTAATTTGGTTTCCATCCACTGCTTTGAGAATCATGGTGCAAATTAGGATGCCAAAAGTAGCAGCCATTCTCAGGCTAGCAGCTTTTCTCATTGCAGGGTAATAGCTGGCAATAGGCAGAACACATCTCAAATCACCACCTATCCTATCATTTCCTACCCTGATGTTGGTCATACAGACCCTTGAAAATTGTTTTTGACTCACTTCTTCTGTTTCTAATTTCTAGACATATTCTTGGAATCATCTTGTTTGGTTCTACTAAATGTCTCTTGGGAAGTCTATTTTGATCCCACTGCCACTGCATAAAACAATGGGTTCTTCACTAATGTCCTTGGTCCAGGCTCTTCTCTATTTCTTCTTCCTACCACTGCCAGACTATCATTCCTTAATAACTGTTTCAACTCGTTTAAAGCCTCAAATTCCTTCTTATTTCTTTCTTTTCTTTTTTCTTTTTTTTTTGGTACCGGGGATCGAACTCAGGTCCTTGCGCTTGCGCAGCAGGAGGAGAAACCATTGAGCTAAATCCCGGCCCCAAATTCCTTCTTATTTCTGAGGCTAAGGAGGCTGCTATCCCTGTTCTTCTCATGCAGTCTATTTCCCACACTACTCCTGGGCCTGTGCATTCTGCTTTGGTCTTACAGACTTCCCTTCTCTTCTTTAGTCCCTCCGTGGCTGTTTGCTCATTTTGTAGGATCATCTGGAACCCCATCCTTACTCTGTCTTTCCACTTCCACTCTTTTCTACTCATTCCTCAAGGTCTAGTTGAAGCCCCACTTCTGAGCTAGAGCTGCAGGACCCACCAGGTTGATCTGGTTGGGCAGGGGGCAGAGGATGTTTTCCCAGTAGAATTTTTTTTTTTCAGTATTGGGGATTAAACCTAGGGCCTTTACACTGGGCCACATCCATAGTCCTTTCTTTACTTTTTAATTTTGAGACAGGGCCTCACTAAGTTACTAAGTTGGTCAAGGTGAGCTTGCATTTGGCATCTTCCTGCTTCAGCCTCCCAGAGGCATGCACCACAAAACCCAGCTAAGATTTTGACATTAAATTACATGAGGCCGTGGATTCAATCCCCTGCACTGAAAAAAAAAAATTGCCACATACATTTCAAATGGCTAGTAACTGATTGGCCCAGGTTCCTAAACATTTCCTTTCACCCTCAAGATCAAGGTTATAATCTCAGGCTCTGTCCAGCAACCTATGCCAGGCAAGATGACCTTCTTGGACTCACATTTGATCTTCTGCAATGCACATTTGAGGATCTGCCAAACATTCCTTAAAAATAGAATTACCTTATTCTGCCCACCATACTACTGTTGACCATAATTTAAGAGCCTCTTCCTCTAAGACTACCTAAATTATTTCCACCAACTGTCCAACCTGTTATCACAATCCTATACTTTTCCTTTGTGCAAGGTTCTCCTCTTCACTCCAGAAAATAAAGTACACACCATGACCCTTCAGGGAAGAGGAGAATAGGTGGTTTACATTTTCTTGTGTAGCTGGAAGGCTGCTGTCAGGTACCACTGTGACACTGGCTTAGACATGTTGAGACTAAAATCCATATGGGCGCCTAAGGGCTGGCCCTGTGCTAATGGAGAAGTGCCCAGTTGTTTATAGGCTGCCAAAAAAGGAAGGAAGCTTGGTAGGCCTGGGTTGAATCACAGTTCTTTCCATATTGGCTGTGGGACACTGGTATATGTGCTGCCGAAGCGAGCACTGGCTGTGGGACACTGGGAAGTGGTCCCAGTTATCTGAACCAGTCTGTGTAAACAGGAAGAATAGTCCTTTCCTTGCTTGGGTTGTTGTCAGGTTTAGAGAAAACCCGTGTAGGGTTCTGAACAGAGTAAAGAGCACACAGTAAATAGGTGGCTGAAATGTGATGGGCTGCCTCCAGTAAGCTCCCAGGGATTCTAAACTAAAGATCTGGGGATCATTTACTAGCTCATGGCTGGGCTAGTAATCACATCTATTTTGTGATTGTATTTACCCTTCTCATCTGCCCAATGACATGGAAAACTAAAAGCGAACCAGGACCAGCTGTTTTTGGTGGGTGCCCAAGGGATAATGTGGGGTTGGAGCATTGGAGTGGTTTTTGATTCTTTGACAGGGATGGATGGTTTTTAGGCTTTAAGATATGGCATAACAGAAAGGCATACAATTAAACACTGTTGGTGGCTTGATGTGAGTACATGAATGCACTGCTATGTTTTAGTTAATAACGCTTGGTTGGATTTCACCAACACTGTCCAGGAAAGCAGAGATACAGGCTCAGGCTGGATCCCTTCTGCCACCTCTTGGCTCCGTGCCCTGCTGCTCACCGTGGCCACCAGCTGCTTCCGGTCCTCGGCTTTCCCCACGTGGCACACGGTGCCTGTCACGCTGAGCCCTTCCCCCTTCAACGTGGCCACTGCGCGGTCCACGTTCTCCTGGTTCCGGCTGCTGACGACCACATGGGCCCCGTCCTGGGCCAGACGCCGGGAGATGGCAAAGCCGATCCTGCAGGAGGAGAAAGACCAAGACCGTCTAGAATTATCCAGGGGAAGAGGCTGAGAGCATGAGCTCCTGAGTCAGAATACCTGGGATTAGATTTTAGCTCTCCCTCTGTATGATCTCCATGTGTCTCTACCAGGTTACCACACAGGCAGTCATGCTTACCTCATTTATTAGGATCTTGTCCCTCCGCCTCCATTCCCAGGAATTGACATCACCTTCCACGGGCCCTAATCCTGGTGATAGGCCCTATACCCAGTGGAGTTGGAGGAGAGAGAAGTGTGATGGCTATGCAGTAGCAGCCACATTTGTTGTTTTAAGCTCTCACTAGAAAGAACTCCTTGAACTCACCCAAACATCTCCTTTGCTAGAGTACATCATCTCCAAAATTGTATCCTTAGATATGTTTTGGGGGTGCATGGGAAAGGATGGGTAATAATTTAAATATTTCCCTGGGAGTAAGGACTACATATTTTACATTTGCCGGTCATTAGAACTTCTCATACAGGGCCGGGGATTTGGCTCAGTGGTTTCGCCTCCTGCTGCACAAGCGTAAGGACCCGAGTTCGATCCCAGGTACAAAAAAAAAAAAAAAAAAAAAAAATTTCTCATCTGTATTTCAGATTTGTGAGGAGCTAGCATCTAGCAAAGTCCTTTAGGAATGAGAAATAGGACAAATAAAGGCTGTGGGTAACACACAGGCTGGGCAGAGTAGGCCAAAGTGTACTGACCTAGACAGAAATCAGTTCACAATGGTCTTGTGTCCTATCTAGGTTAGGGGTGATGTTGCTCTAGGAGACCGGTCAGGAGCCCAAAGCGGGTGTCTGGAACACTATAGTGGATGGATGGAGACAGTGAAATTGTTTTGAAATCCGGAGTTTTGGATTTCTGGTCTTCCCAGACTCTAGGTGGCGTTGTTGATTGGGGCAGCCCAGAGCACGGGGAGCCTGGATCTATGGGACAGCACCGAGCTGGCACCCTTGGGCAAGGCAGCAGGGACAGCAGGGCTGGCAGGGAGGGGCCGGAGTCTGGGGATTCGGAGGAACTTCAGGTCGGCCACGTAGTTCTTTTTTCTTCTGGGACAGGGCTTGGCGGCCTATGAGGCCTGAGGTCACAGCCTCAGGAGACAAAAAAAAAGAGGTCACTATCTGTCTCCAGACACCAGCCCAGGCACTCACCCGTCGGTGGAGGCCGTAACGAGGGCCACCTTATTCGCGAGCGGTTTCTGGCGGGTCATTCCGGAACTAGCCATCCTCGCCGATTTCCACGCCTGAGCACAGCCGCCTATCCGCAGTACCGCCTTATGCATGGCTCAGGCGCCAGGGTGAAAGCTCCGTAGGGTAGGGAGGCAGGACGAGGGGCGGGCTGACTCGGGAGTCGGCTGTGGCCGCCCGCGTCCCCTGCCGGCGAGAATGAGCTCCTGGTCCAAGTTTCCTTAGGGTTTCCCTCCCTGTAGGACCCCGCAGGTTTCGGCAAGCTCCAGCCCCCTTTCTACATCAGCTTGCCACTTTTTTTTTTTTTTTTTGGTGATGGGGAGTGATGTGGTGAGGAGGCCGAGTTAGTTTCCTTTGCTTCCCCAAACCTCAAAAGGGAATTCCTTCTTAAAAAAGCGTAGGTCTGTGTAGATGACAGTGCACCGGAGGGCCGATGCTTCTGAGATTGTCTTTGAAGGTGAGGCCTGTGGTCTTCTATGGAGTCCACCACCTGAAGGTAGAGGAACTAGGAGAGGAAACGTGATGGCGGGTAGCTGGCCTAAGCTTGGTACTGCCCTTCCCCCTGGTTCAAGGTCTCCTCCATCTTATAGATGGAGGGCAGACTATGATCACGGTAGTACTCAGTGTTCAGGACTGACCCTGACTCCATCTAAGGGGACTTCCCGTTTTACAGCGACTAAGTGGAACAAGGATCCTAGAGGGTCCCCCAGCCAGCGGTGGAAATACAGACTCAGGAGCACTCAAATTCTCCCTAATCGCTGTGTCTCCAGGTCTTAGCCTCTATCCTAGTTCAATAAATATTTGCTGAATATAAAAGTGCTTTATGAACTGAAAACTACTAAACACACAGTAATTATTGCCACCACCTAATAATTATTATTGCTGCCACAGGCCAGACTCTTCATCTGTGAACTGAGGATGTGGAATAGATGATGAATAAAGTCCTCACTGGCTATAAATTCTGGGTTCAAGACTTCAGCTTCCATTTCTGCCAAGTGGGCTGAAATGATTTTCCTCCTGGGTTTCTGGGAGAATTAATAAATCTGGATGGCTTATGGTACACTCTGGAAAGGCCTCAGCAAGTCCAAGTACAAGCATCTGAATTGGTTTAACCCAGTGGGTTCCAAATGTCAAGCTGAGCAGTGCTGATTCATGGCACCGTTTTCACTTGTTTGAGGCAAAATGAGAAAAATAAAGAAATATAATGAATTTCATAAAGCCTAGTATATTTAACTTAACAGTCCTTTATTCTGGATTGTGCTTTTTGTACCCTCTTTGGTGTTTGTCCTTTCAGAAAAGATGATGAAAGAGATGGAGGAAGGAGGCAGGGGGAGTGGAGGTGAAAAGATTTAAGATATGTAGTTCTATGTGATGAATGTAGTCATTATGTACTACAAACATTCACCAATAAAAATAAAAAAGAAAAGAAAAGATGATTGCAGCAGATAGGTAGGTTTAGAAGTATTGTTAGTTGGTGAAATCATCAGTTTGTCAACCTTAAGTCAGTCACTACAGTTAGAGGGTAGATTATCTTGGTCTGGGAAATCCAGAACTGGGGATCACTGCTTAATAAAATCATACTTGCTAAAGGTTCATTTAGTATTTGTATTGGTCAGCTGAGTGGCTGAAAAAAGGATTTCAGCATTCCACTGGGAGGTATGAATAGCAAGTGAAATAACAGGCATGCACTGGATTTATGGTATATAAAAAAGAAATTACAGTTGTGGTACTCAGCACATCCTGATGAGATAAGAGAACCTAAGTCTAATTTTCTCCATGTCAGAGGAAAACTGACTCTGACTGGTGCCCCTCAGTCTGAGCCTCATGAATTATTGACAGGGGCTGGATAGTGCCACACTGCTCTTTCTTCTTCATTGTTTGAGTTAATGCACTGTGGGAACACTTCCCAGCTCTTGGCCTGAGTGTGTGGGCCTGGGGGAGGGGGCACAGGACTGTAGCAGGGGTACTCAGGGCCTGGCTCAAGGGGACAGACCTGCAGGGCTTGAGCCCCCTTTACCTGTTTTCCAGAGGAGAGCCAGACGTAGGGCCTGAGAATTGGGGTGTAGGGTGGGTGAGGAAGGCCACACTTCAAAGAGCAAAGGATTCTGGGAAAAGAGAATTCTGGCTTGGGCGATTGGTAAATATCACCTGGCTCCTCCTCATTTGGGCAGGGTTGATGTTTGTCCTCCAGCACCATTTCTTTTGGAAGAATGTCTGTTTTGGAAACATTAGGGAGGGGGTCTGTGAACAGAAAAAGGTAGAAGGAAGGCAAAGAGTATGGGGATTTTTAGCTACTGCTCCTCATCAAATTGGTTTGTTGAAAGACATAGGGACTCTTTGGGGGAAATGCATATGTGGGAGTATCTCTTTGAGATGGGAACTTTAATATGAGATTGTTCTTATTTGGAGATGGGATCCTCAACCTCTCTAGATGAAATATCTCTGACTGAGGACAATGCTCCCATCTTCAAAGGCTGGCTGGGGTCCAGAGGGAATTTACCTTGGATGGAGTCTATGTCTCGCACTTTGCAATAGCCATCCTAGATTGGTCACTGAGGCACCGTGACTGATACTGACATAGTGAGAGACCAGCATAAGGACCAAAGACAAACAAGCTCCTTGGTCCTTAATCTGTTACTCATTAAAAGCATGATTTGTGTTTTCTTCTGAGGCAGTCAGGGACTTGAAAGTTTCTTTTGGCAACAAAACAAAACAAAACAAGACAGATGAACAAAACAGTGGATTCTCAGTTGGGCCCATAGATACCCAATAGGTAACTAAAAGCAGAACAAAACTTTACCTTCAGTTTGTATTCTCATTTTGTGTGTATGGGTGTGGGGTGGGGGGGAGTTCTTGCTATATAGCCCAGACTGGCCTTGAACTCACAAACCTCCTGCCTCAGGTCCCGAGTTCTGGGATTATGAACATGTGCCAGCACTCCCTACATATCTGTCTCTTAGTTGATCTACTCAGCTCTGCCTTTAAACATGTTAATCATTTAGGAAGTGTCTGTCTAAAAGCTGGCAATACAGTACAAGGCTGATTAGTCCTAGATTTACATAATTTATCTTATCCCTCTTCAAGATTGAAGACACCAAAGATGAGAAACTTATAGGCACATTCCACTACCAATGAGCATCATGAAGTATCCAATCTTTGCCCTAAACCAATAGTTAGATTCCTTGAATTCCAGGAAGACTTCTGTAAAGCTGAGACTGCCTCAAGCAGAGACCAAATTGTCCCCTCAAGTAATAAGGGCTTCTCCCAGGGCCATCTTGTAAAACCAGAACTGAGATAATGACAACCAGACCTTAGCCTGCCTTAGCCCTTCTATGTGTGCTCCTTCTTTGTTTGTTTTGTTTGCGGTACCGGGGATCAAACTCAGGACCTTGTGCTTTCGAGGCAGGCACGGTACCACTGAGCTAAATCTCTGGCCCTCATTCTTTGTTAATGGACAAGTCTGATCCTGTTCATTAGAGCTATGCTCTCTTTAGCTCCTCAAGCTCCTCAAGCTCCTCAAGCTCCTCAAGCTCCTCAAGCTGAAGTCCCTTCCCATTTTCTCTTATTTTCTAACTCTGCCTAATAAATCTGCCTAGGCCTCTCACTGCTGTATCCTGAAATGCCTTTCTGTGATGAGAGTCAAGAACCTGCCAGGCTGAGTGGAAGCCCCCATCTCCTCTTTGGGGGTTTGCCTTTGGGCCCTGTTTATGTTTTGTTTTTTGGTACCGGGGATCAAACTCGGGACCTTGCGTTTGCGAGGCAGGCAGCGGAACCACTGAGCTAAATCCCTGGCCCCGGGTCCAGTTTGTGATAACCCCAGTTAAGAATGGGCAATGTGGGAGGGCTGGTGTATGACTGAGAGAACTGCAAAGCAGGGATAGTAATAAGAATGTTAATAGCACTATTTATTAAGGACGTGCTAAGTGCTAGCAATTATTGGGTGCTTCTACTAATTTATTTTCTTGGTTTTTTGAGGCAGAGTCTCCCTTTGCAGTTCAGGGTGGCCTTGAACTTACTGTGCAGCCCAGGCTGCTCTCGAACTCTCAGAGATCCTCCTGCCTCACCTCCTGAGTGCTGGGATTACAGGTGTGTGCCACTATCCCCAGCTTGTTTCTAATACATTTTACTGAATATTTTTAATTGAATTGAGTGAGCATTTTTCTTTTCTTCTCCTTCTTCCTTCTGTTTTGCATTTTTACTGTCATCTGTGAAATCAGAGTGAGTTGTGAAAAATTGGTCCATTGTCAATGTTGTATAAATACCTTTCATTTTTTTTCTGGCATTGTTGGAGTTTTGTAGAAATTAATTTTCTCTTGGGCTGGAGATGTAGCTCAGTGGCACTGCTTCTGTCTTGTAAGAGCAAGGTCCTGAGTTCAATCCCTGGTGCAAAAAAATCTTTTTTTTCTCTGAATTGGGATTTTACTGTTAGGATTATCGTGGTTTTTTTAATCATTAAATATCTATTCTTTAACTTATAAATATAACACATGCTCATGACTTTTAAAAGGGGAGGATAGAGCCAGGTGTGGTGGCACATGCCTGTAATCCCAGCACTTGGGGAGGCTAAGGCAGGAGAATTGCTGTGAGTTCGATGCCAGCCTGAACTATATAGCAAGACCCTGTCTCAAAAAAACAAAAACAAAAAACCAAACCAAACCCCCAAAAGGATAGAAAGTTATGTGAAAGTAAAAGGTAACTCTTTCCTATGCTTCTTTTTTTTTTTGGTACAGGGGTTGGAACTTGGGTCCTTTCGAGGCAGGCAGCAGAACCACTGAGCTAGATCCCCGGCCCACCTATGCTTCTTTTACCCATTCTCCATATAGCTCTTGTTCTTGTGTGTCCTTTTAGAAGTACCCTATACATGTATATGCATTTTTTTCTCTTAAAAATGTTACTCACTGGGTGTAGTGGTGCATGGTTGTAATCTTAGCACTAGGGAGAGTGAGGCAGGAGGATCACTAGGAGTTCAGAGTCAACCTGGGCTATATAGTGAGTTCAAGGCCAGCCTGGACTACATGGCAGGCCCTGTCTCAAAAAAAAAAAAAAAAAAAAAGAATCTTTCTCATGAATGGGATGATATTATACATGCTTTCCTTCAATTGCTTGTTTCTTTTGTTTCTTATATCTGTCCCTCTTTTCTTTCACTTCTTAAAATATATTATTGGGCAGTATTCTGAGTGGTACCATAATAAATCTACT